AAAACTCCCCCTGGCCCCTTATCTTCCCACCACTCAGAACCAGATTCCATCCCCCCTGGAAATAATTCCACCGAGCCCAATAAACCTCTTACCCTTCTCACTTCAAAGCCCACTGCCACACAGACCTCACAAGCCCAAAATCATTCTCCATCTATACCTGAAAAATCCACACCCCCCCTTTTACCTTGTGCCATGCCATCTGATCCTCCAACCACTTCTAACCCTTCTACCATCACTCCTGTACCCACTAGCAACCCTTCTTTCACAACCACCCTGGAACCCCTCACTTTATCCCCCTCTCCACCTAAGCCTTCTTCAGAACATTCACCACTCAACACTGAACTTGAGCAGTCAGCTTTTGAAATCAGATTTCATCAAGAGACCTTCTCAAACCTCTTTTGCCTCCTGGTTGAAGGAAGAGATGAACACATACTCAAGGAAATGAAATCCAGTGAAGCCCCCTCAGCTTTTGATGACCTTCTCATAAAAAAGAACCCAAGGCAGGAACTGTTTTACTACTCTGATGAAGAGACTTCATTCACCCCTGCACATAACAAAAGAGAAAACCCAAGAGTTAGAAGGTCAACAAGATTACAAGAGAAATCCTCCACACACAATTCTTTCAGCTTACTATCACAATGAATTTGCTTTTTTGGAATATCAGAGTTATAGCTAAAAACCTCCCAAGGTTATCTTTTCTCCTCAAAGACTTAAACATCAACTTTCTAGCCATTATTGAACCTAAAAGCAGCCTCAACAATATTGCTACTTACCATATTAAACTGGGGTTTGATTCCTCTAAGTCCTTATGCAACAACAAAGTATGGACTTTCTGGAAATCAGACTTCTTCACCCTAGCCCCCACTGTCCCTATTACATCTTCCCCCCAAATTGGAACCCTCTACTTCTCATCCTCTCCCCTCAACTCCCCCTGCATCATCTCAGTTGTTTATGGTCTCCACACCAAAGAAGAAAGAAGAGAGCTCTGGACCACCATCTCCAACCTAGCAGAGTCCACTCATTCCCCCTGGATCATGGGAGGTGATTTTAATGCCATCAGCTCTATAAACCACCATAAAGGCAAAAGCTCTCCCTGCCTAGCTAGCATCAGTGAGTTTGACCACTGTATAAACTCAAATGGGCTGATTGACCCCCCTTACTCTGGGTCACCTTACACATGGTTGGGAAATAGAAGCCTTGGAAAAGTTTGGAGAAGATTAGACAAAATTTTCTACAATTCAGCTATTCAAGACCTCAACCTTCATATTAATTCCCAACACCTGCCTCGTGGTAACAGTGATCACTCCCCCATTCTGCTTAAGCTCTTGTCCCCTATTTTCAATGGTCCTTCTCCTTTCAAATTCCTCAACTGCTGGTCTTCCCACCATACCTTCCATCCTCTAATCCTTCAAAATTGGGGTCCATACGAAGGAGGGGGAATGAGAGGACTATCCCAAAAACTGAACAATATCAGGTCCATTCTGCAGCATTGGAACAAATCCACATTTGGGAACATCTTCAAAGACAGGGAACACCATGAAAACCTCCTAGCAGAAGCTGAAATTGCTTTTACCTCTGACCCCTCAGAAGAGAATGACAATCTCCTACAACAGGCCAGATGTGAACTCAACAAGCTTGTAGCAAGAGAATACTCCTACTGGAAACAGAAGGCAAACTTAAAATGGGTCAAAGAGGGGGACCTTAACACCAAATTCTTCCATGCATTTGTGAGACATAGAAGGATGCAACAATCCATTGGCAGTATTAAAGGAAAGGATAACTCTTGGTTAACCACCTGGCAGGACATCTCATATGAAGCCCTACATTTCTTTAACAGCCTGTTTACAGAAGAACCCAGTCATCCTCATGCTGAATTCATCTTCAACATTCCCTCCCTCCTAACCCCTGCTGATAACAACCTCCTCACTTCCCTCCCCTCTCTTGAAGAGGTGAAAGAAGCTGTGTGGGACCTCAACCCTGACAGCTCCCCTGGTCCAGATGGTTACTCAGGCCATTTTTTAGAAGTTAGTTGGGATATTATCCAAGTGGATGTTTGGAAAGCTTGCCAAGAATTCTTCCTGGGCATCACCCCCCCTAAACCTCTTTTCACCTCTACCCTTATCCTCATCCCCAAAAAAGAAAATGCTACCTCCTTTACAGACTTCAGACCCATCTGCCTTTCCAACTTTGTTAACAAATTATTCTCTAAGATCATGGTCAACAGACTCTCAGCCATAATTCCTAAACTCATCAGCCCTGAACAAGGGGGTTTTGTTAAGGAAAGACTCATCCATGACCAAATTCTCATTACNTCTAATGGCAGAATGCTCAGCGCCGCAATCCTGCGCAATGGACTTGGAAAATTTATGGCGGCAAGTACCTGGAAACTCTGCGTAACTAACCCCCTGGAAGGAGAAGCAATGGGTCTACTATTGGGCCTAACTTGGGCTAAACACTTCTCGGAAAATATTTGGGCCCATTCGGACTCGGAGATCACCGTCAAAGGTATACACAAACATTCAAACCCGGGTTTAACTCCCGAACTCTGGATCCGCCTCTATGAAGCGTCACAACAACAAGGTACCAAAATCAGACACATCCTGAGAGAAGGCAATTTGGGAGCACATACTTTAGCAAGATGGAGTAACAAACACTATGTTTTTTCATCTTGTATCTCTCTTTCCACTCTTCCCACCTTTGTCAAAGGAGCCATTACGGCAGATGTAACTCTTCCTTTTATTCGTTAAATAAATATCCTTTTCATTAATATATATATATATATATATATATATATATATATATATATATATATATATCTGTGTGTGTGTGTGTATGTGTGTATATATATATATATATATATATATATATATATATATATATATATATATATATATATATATATATGGGTTTGACTCCAGTCAGATGACATGTTTCGATTAGATGACACTTTCAGTCAGATTACATGCTTCAGAATGAGCACTATGTTATTTAAGAATGAACACTTTGCTCAGCAAACTGGGAATGAGTACTATGTTATTTTAGAATGAGTACTAGGACTATAATGAGCAAATGTGTGAGAATGAATCCTACGCTGTTTGAGAATGAACATCATGTTATTCAAAATGAACCCTATGTTGTCGATTGCCTCATTTGGAATGAACACTATTTTTTTTGAAATGAACAGTACGTTATGATGAACAGTTGTGTGAGAATGAATCCTACGTTGGGTTAGAATGAGCACTACGTTGATCCAGAATGAACCATACGCTGTCATCTGACCGAAAGTGTCATGTGACCAAAACTTGTCACCTGACTGGAGTCACACACACACACATACACACACACACACACACATACATACATACATACATACATACATACATACATACATACATACATACATACATACATACATACATACATACATACATACATACATACATACATATATATATATATATATATATATATATATATTAAAACGGGGGGAGGGGGGTTTATTGAATTCTAATGTAGGGGACAAGCTTGTCCAAAGATATTACAGCAGAAATAGATCTAGGTAGAGATGAAAAACAATCAAAGGAAACACAATGAGAACTCCTTGCTCTGTGTTTTGCTAGGAGGTCTGCCGCACCATTGGCTTCTCTGAGTGTGTGGGAGAGGCGTAGATTTAGAGTTTCTATCCTGCCCTTGATGAATAAAAGAGCATTCGACGTTGGGTTATCACGTAACTTGAGTAGGAGTTCCATGTTGTCTGTTTCAACAACCATGTTGGGGAAGGAGTAATAACTGAGGGCTTGCATCATTGCAAGAGTTTCTGTGGATAGTGGTGAGGATCTAGGTAGAGGAAAAGCTAATCCATGGAGGAAGTTGCCTTGGTGGTCCCCTAAAACAGCTCCACCACCGCAACCCCGAGAGTGTGCACTACCATCAACGTTGAGCTTGAAGTGGAAGGGGTTTGGAGGAATCCAACGAATAAGTTTGAAATCCTTGGGAGGAGTCCGATGGAGTGTGGTTGGAAGGTACATGCCTTTGTTTGCTAGGGACCATGCATTAAGGGCATGTTTGATTTCTTCAAGGGTTTTCTCTGGTTTAAAGTTTTCGTTGTTCTCTTTAACCCCGTTGTAAGCTTTCCATAGCTCCCAAGTGATGATGGTTGGGATGATACGTTTGACCTCGAAGAGATGATCAGTAGGAGCCGTGGAGAGCCACCACCACACACACACACACAGATATATATATATATATATATATATATATATATATATATATATATA